ATTCAGGAGACCCATTCCTTTTGAAAAAATGAATTTTAAAGGTGATATTATAGATAGTACCACCTAGATTTAAGGCGAGAGGGGGGATGTAGAATACCATAATGTCATGGGAGTGCTGGATGGATACATATGTCCCCTCCAGTGACAGCTATGTTCTTTCCTTGACTCACAAAGCATGCAGGGTACCATTCTTTGCAGCATTTTTGTTTGGTTTGGTTTTCTGGGACAGGGACATAGTTTTCTGAGACAGGTACATAGCCCTAGGCTGGTCTTGAACTCTCTTGGTAGCCCCCGGTTGGTTTTGAACTGGGATTACAGACTTGTACAACATTCCAGGTTTAAGGTTATAGGTCCCGTGAAGGAATGCCACTGTTACAAAACAGCATTGTGAAAAACTACACTGGACAACTATCTGGTTATTTTGGTTAATGTAAATAGTCGACATAACCTTCTTGTCCCCAGCCCAATATAAACCATTTTCAAATTAAAAAAGTGTCCAAATACTCCCTCCTGAATGCTCTAAAAACCAATCAACAACAATATAACAGCCCAATAAATTAAAATAGGAACAACAAAAATACACAGAGAGAAAACAGTTTATATCATAAACTATTTCTTAACTCCCTAAATTCTCTAAGTGCCAGTTAATCAAAAAATGACCTCCTCATGCATGGCAACTGATGTTGGTTTGTTCTTATTATTAGCGAGGTAATCATTTGCTCAGCACAAGAAGAAAAGGCCAATATAGTCTATCGGGATGGGCTAGTTTTTTTAGGCAAACAATAATAGTCTGAACAGAATAGAATTTAAATCAGCCACCAAATGAGGTAGTTTTCCACAAAGATTAGGCTGAAATCTTGCCCCAGGGAAGAATACCAAAAACAAACAAACAAACAAACAAACAAACAAACCAATTGTTAGCCTTAAATACCAAGCAGAGAGGAAACTAGGAAACAAGTCGACCCTGTGTAGTGGTCAACTCACTCCAGATAAGGTGGAAAGGGAAAGGGAAGGAGGGAGTGTCTCAGGAATGTTCCAGAACAACTGTACAAAAGACAAATGGGATAAACAAAAGAATGAGAGAGGTGCTTACACTATGCTGCATAGTCCTCCACACAGTCCTCTGGGAAGCAAGAGGAAAACAAATTCAAAGGAAAAAGAGAAAGAAATTATTCTATACATAATAGCACGGCACAGGCAGAAAGGTTAGCTTAGTTAGTTGACTGGTATTTCACCTCCGCCCATCCCAAATTCCCAGAGTGACCTGGAGAAATCCTTGTGCCCAGGACAAGATTGGATACTTACTGGAGACGTTTTGGTTTAAATCATCGTAACTTGATGAGTTAACTTTCAAGTCTGTTTTTTAAAAAAAGATTTGCTTTTATAAACCCAGTTCTGCTAAGGGCCATAATCTAGAGTACAGGTTTGCTCTAATGAAAGAACTGCCATAAGTAATAGACAGTCCCTGCCTAAGTGTGTTCAGGAGCCATCGAGCACACTGAGCTCTAATTTCTGAGCTGTACTACTAATTGCCTTTTAGGGAAGAGAACATGGAACACCTCTACGTGCTCAGACCTGAAAACTCCAGCTACTTTGTGCTGAATTATTTTTGCACCCCATGAGTCCAGTGAATTGGAGCTTTCTTTACAAAATCATAGCCTTACATCGAAGTGTTTAAGAGAATACACAGAGGATAAATTTAGGAAAAGGAGAAGAGAACCAATCTCTTTTGGAGTACAATGACCTCTGGCCCACTTAACTGGAAACCTTTAGCAGCCATGGGGACAGGAGGCTGCTAGGGTGAAACATGGAGGCAAAACTGATCTGTCAGTGGGATCAGGTGATGGTGTTGGCAATCTCAACAAAATGTGGCTATTGGCAGTAAGAACTGTGATATTTTCACAGGAGCCAGCTTTCTGTCATCAGCTGAACTTATGCAAACACATTCATTCATTATGGATAACAAAGCATTACTTAAGAGTAACATGTTTTGAAGCTGTTGGCTACATTGACTGTGTTTTAGGCCCAAATGGAAGTGTTTTCTGTGATATAGAATTTACAAGTTCTTTATGAAGGAATTAAGTTTTTTTAAAAAGCATTTTTTTCTCATTCTCTTATGTAAGTTTTAGCCATGACTTAGAAAACCTTATTTCTAAAATTACTAGTTCACATAAAAACAGTTTTACAATAACTGACATGAGTGTTTACCAACAGATCCCAAAGTCAGTACCATAGGAATTAATTTAAATAGTATCAAGAAGCTGCATTCCAAGAGTCTCAAAATTAAGTTCTTTTCATTTTGGCAAATGGGGTGGGGTGAGTGGGTATTTATTTCTTTTGACGCTAGTCTTTGAAGCATTTTCTCTGCTGAAACAGAGGAACCTTTTCCAATTATCCCCCTTTTCTGGGACACATGCTTCTTATAAATATTCAGGAAACATCTTTGCAGGACAAAATTAAAACAGGAGTAGGTAACACAAGCCTTGTTTATAAACAGTTGGGGCAGACTGTAATTGAGAATAGACTCATCTGGAGAGCTCATCAGCCATCCCTTGAACAGGACCATGAACAGCTGACTACGGAACCACTCCACCTTCCAGGGTTTGAAAAGCAGCAGGCACTCAAAAGGAAAGGCCTTGGGGAAGCCAGGGGCTGCTAAAGGAGCCTCTGATACTAGCTTAGAGCCAAGCTCTGGTTTCAAGAATAAGCTTGGTAAAGCTCCTCTTGATGTGGCAATAACTCTCACTCTTAGATGCTAAGGAAAGTCACTTGAGGTAGGCTTATGACTGGCCGTGAGTTACAAATTGCCAATTGTTAAAACTGAAAAGAGATTAAGAATTTCATTCAATAAAATATTAATAAGACTACAATTCCTACCTACATAGTCAGAAGTCAATGCTTGTGCTGATGGAGAATGTTTGATAATAAACCTGGTTCATGGGTTGAATATTTATGCTCTGGGTCTGGCCCTGAGTTTCTACTTGTGAACAGGTAATTAACCATTGTCATTTGTTGTTAGAAAAAAATTGGATTAAAAATATTTTTAGGGGGCATAAAATGGAAGATCTTTAATCAGTTTACTGTCTGCCAAAACTTTCAAGATTCCTTCTTTTGGGGAATTGTGAAGTTTTCCCAATGAGGTTCTTCTTCAGAAGGTTCAAATTCCAGTTTCATATCTCTCAGTCTTTAAACATCATGTGAAATCCTCCCAGTGTTGGAGTTTTAAGTTGTGTTTTACTGCATAAATACTGCCTGGAGTAGCCTTTTTTTTTTTTTTTTTCTTGTTTTACTTCATTTATCCTGTGGATGCTTCTCTGTTTCAAAGGGAAATATTAATTGCCATAGGTATCGACACAGTGTCTAGATTTAATGCAATTTAACCAAGTACATTGTACCCCACTTCTAAAAAAATTTTTTGTTCTATTGTGGTAAGAAATCTTAGCTTGAGGTATACTCTCCTAAGAGATTCTGAAGTATGTAATATAGTACTGTCATCTATAGGCACAGCGTTGCACATGAGATGTTGAAAATTTATTCATCTGACACTGTATCTAGGTTCTAAAATTGAAGTTTGCAAAAATCTTGAAGGGCCTAACCTCCTCCAACGACTGAATTAGAGTCAACTAAAATGGAATCAAACCTATACTTGCCATGTGTGTATCTGGCTAGAGGGATATACAAAGCAATTTGTAAAGTAGAACCCAAACAATGCAATCTAAAGAAAACCATCATTCTTTGAGAGAACAGATCAGTTGTTGTCTGGCAGAGTGTAATTGGTTGTTTAAAAGAAAAATAGTGACTAATTTTAAGCCGTTTCTGAAACTTGGATAGAAAATAGGAATAAGCAAGGGAAACAGGTGGAAGCAATTAAACACGTATCTTTTCTAAAACCTGCATCAAAGGGGGCATTGTATTTGCTAATAAAGGGTAATAAATTTATAACATAATTCAGCAGTTAGCGAGTATGGTTACTTCTTTACTTTGATACTTAATGGACAGACTTTTATGCTGCTAAATACATTTGACTTTTTTAATAGAGAGAAATGCTAAGATGTACTTACATGGAGGCCAAAATGCAACTAATTTAATCTTATGAGTTCTACACTGTAGAGGGATATTAACTAAAATCATAAAGCCATTCACAACAGTGACTAATAAAGTATTCCATAACCAGGAACCCTTGAGATTTGAGTTCATATGACATAATCAGATGTGGTTCAAATGCTTTACGACCTTAAGGTTTTTATCTGTTAATTTTACATCAAGATAATTGACAAAGCAACATTCATAGCAGTAACAATTATAGGTATATAAATGGTTTATAGTACTAGGAATTCAGGACGTTGGACTGAATATGACCGGACAACATTTCTTTGAAACTATGAGTTTTTAATTTTTATGTCAAATTTGGTTTTTAAAACATTCAAAAATTGTGTTTATTCTGTTTACGGTTGCATTTGCCATGTAGATTGCTCTGACATAAAAGTCATTCAGTCTCTGACACACATTTAGATGGTCCTCAGACCCCAACTTTTAAAAGACATTTAGAGAAGGAAAAAGACAATTAGTTTGAGGCTTTCTAGAAGGGACTTTCCAAACGGAAAATTTTGCACATGAGAACTTGTAAGAAAGTCATAAGATATCATAATCACATAAACAATCATTTTAAGAACAGAAGTGAAATGAGGAAGAAATGTGCGATTGTAATTATATCCCTGGAAAAACTTTCAAAGCAATATTTCAGAAATATGAAGTTGAAATTTCAGTCGCTGCACCAATAGATTAATAGTTATAAGATTTCTTAAATAATCGAATTCACGGTCTAAAAGAAAGATTCTATTACTTTCCACTATCCTAATTAAAAGTGGGAGCAGATATAAGAATAAGATGACTTTTATAACCAACTGCTTTAGAATCCCAGAGTCTGTTCTACAGAACAAATGACCCAGGTCTCAGAGAACAGCTCTCTGATCCTCATGACCATCAATCCGAGTACTCACCAGCCGGTCCAAGCTTGTGCCTGCAGCGGTTGTGGGTCTTTCCTCGGGATTGTAGGGCCTAAACCGTGTGTTAAAGTTTTCGGGAGCTGAGCGAGCAGATCTGAGGGCTGGAGCTGGTTTGGGCTGGCCACATCCCTGAAAGACCTGGAGGGACCAATACAAGTGACACAATGAAATTGCTGTAAACTCATGGCCCAGAAGTGTGCAACACAGTGTTTTCCCCATTTCTCATGAAATTTTTCCAATAACTCTAATTTTCAGCTGTAAGCATAGGGAACCACTAATAGAAAAAGAGTTGCCGAATATGGGGTGACCATCCACAGGCCTAAGCTCAGCATTTTACGAGAGATAGAGACAGTCCTCATTATCTACAGTCTCTGTATTTCCGGTTTGTCTTCTTAGAAAAAATTTATTAGTAAATCCTAAAATCAGTCTTGCTAGTGCTTTCGTTGCCATGGACAAAGTGGCAAAAAATCTGAGCAGCCCCATGTACCTGCTCCCAGGTAAAGACTGAACAAAGCCGTGTAGCATTCTTGTCTGTGATAGCATCCTAGAATCACCAGCCCTTCTGGCGGTCTACTCAGCATCATGGTACTCACTGCTGTGTGTTTTGTCTGAAATTTCACAGTCTAAATGCCCTCTTGGTATAGACAAAGCTTAAGGAATATCTAATGTGCCAGGGCAGAGGAAGAAAGTGACGTGTTTCATAGAGGGAATATGTGTTTTATAGACACTTCACTCGACTTTAAGTTTAGTCTCATGAATTCAATTCATCGAGAACACAGATCTTAAATAAGGTATCTTAAACCCAAAAGATTAGAAGAAGGTTCAGTTTTTGGGGCAGTCATACTCTAAGCAGTAGCATCTAACCCCGTGTTTCCTGTAATAATATGGTTCACTGTGTCAATTCAGGGTCTTCAGGCTATACAGAATAAAACCACAACAAAGAACAAGAAACAACTATTAAAAATGGGAGTTAAAATAGCCACTTCATAAGATGGTTTCAGGATTAAACGAATTGTGTCCCAGACACTTTGGTACACTTGAATTTGGCAACAGTGAGACCCATGTTATCTGTTATCTAACATAAATGTATGTCATATGTAGCACATAAGACCAAATGACTCGAGGGGCTCCTTCTTGAATAATGAAAACCTCTGCTGGAAGGATTCTTTGAAAACATTCTCTTGAGCAACTGTGTGGAAACAGGACAAGCAAATGGGTGAAAGCTGCATAATGACATTTTCTTCTAGTTTTGTTGTTGACAGCTGTTGGTGTCACAATTAGGGATGCCATGGGAAATCAAACATTTAATCATAATGAATTTAGGGACTGAGCTGCCAATCTTTTTCCACAGTGAGCCCACTCAGGGCGATATGAAAGCATTTCTTCACCGTTTCTACAAGTTTTTATCTCTGTGCCCATTACCAAGAGAGCAAATCTTTTGTGGACTTACAGGAAACATTTTCAGACATCTTCAAGTTTAGCTTTGTGTTTCTAACTTTTGTATATGAGGGATGATTTTCTTTCAAATACTTCATTACAAAAGGAAAACTTTCCCCAACTATTTATGTGAATTAATTCTTAACTTGCATATGCATGTTTACCATAGATTTGTTCAGTGTTTTTGTCTGACTCCATGTTGTTTAACTTTAAGCATTTTTCATCCTGCCTATTATGGGATTCCACTGGAGGACGCAGAGAGCCCTTGGGTGCCATTCCCAATGACAAATTTCTTCTGGAGACACTATTCATTTTGCTTTACCACTACAGCTAATTTCTCTTCTCTTGCATTCCAAAGTTCGCCTTCAACTCAGCATTTTGCAGAGCAGGAGTACTTTGTCTTGACGTGCTTTGAGACTGGTCTTAGCACACTATTGATTATTCTTCTCTCCACGAATTCTGAAGTTGATGGTGTAACCAGTGTGATAAAGATAGTGGGCCTTTTCTTCCCCAGTGCCTAAATCACTTTCCTGCAGCAAGGTCACCGCTGATGGAGGGCCTTAGCATTTCCACAGCTCCAGGGATCTGTTGAGTGGGCTATTTTGGATTGCTTTGAAAATGACAGCTGACTTTTTAAAAGCATAAAGACAGGCAGGAACTACAGTCATGGTCTTGCTGAGATTTCAAGAAGGGAGGCACTGAAAGAGTTAACAGGCACTCTTTGCCACCCTTTGAGAAGAGTTTGACTCAAGGGTTAAAGCTAAAACAAAGGAATTTGGGATTCTCTGAAGGAATGTTAACATTCTAGGGAGAGATTTCATCATAACAAAACAAGTTGCCACTTGATGTTTGCTGGTGGAGTTTGTTTTGGAGGGTGTTAATTATAACAGACCATAGGTTAGTTAATTTAGCCTAGTAGATTTCCCTTATTTATGTGTGGTTTAGATTTTGAGGGTGACTTCAAAGTAGAGATTGCTGAATCCAAACCATGGACCATGTTCACTCCTAATTATTCTGGAAATAACACATAATCCCATATGTGGAAACTTCCTAAAAACTTGTCACAAGGACGTCATATTTTGAAGATCCCTAACCAGAGATACCATCATGCTCTTCTCCCATGCCATGGGAGAAGCCCTTTCATGAAAACTCTAAGCCTGGGGTCAAGTGCTGTGCTACAGACTTCTGTAAAACCTAATGAAAACAGGTGCCAGACATACTGGAGCAGCAGTTTGTCTGTTTCTGCTTTAAGATGGTGAAGGGCTTCTGTATCAGACCCATACAGAGAATAAACAATCATAAAAACCCACATCATATAACTGAGAAAACATATAAAGGGAAAACAAACAGTTTCACATTTAATATATTTACTGTGGTCTGAGTATCTGTGTCCTCCTCAGATTCCTGAATACAGACCTGTATTAGCTCCTTTTCTGTTGCTATGATAAAACACTATGACCAAGGCAACTTATAGAAAGAAGAGCTTATTGAATTTACATTTCCAGAGGTATTAGAGTTCATCATGGTGGGGAGGTGGCTGGAGAAGAAAGCTGAGTGCACACATCTTCAAGCAGACACATGAAGCAAGCACAACAGACTGGAAGTGGCATGGCTTTGAACTCTCAAAGCCTGCCCCCAGTGATGTCCTTCCCCCAGGTTGGCCACACCTCCGAAAAGTTCTATGACCCTCCCCAAACAGCATCATAAACTGGGGACCAAGTGTCCAAATATTTGGAGGCTATGGGAAATGTTCATTCAAACCATCACAAGACTTCATCTCCACAGTGATGGGATTAGGAGATAGGGCCTTTGGGAGATAAATAGGATCTGCCCTCATGAATAGGATTAGCACCCTTATCAAAAGAGGCACTGTTGTTTGTTAGTCACCTAGTTCATAGCATTTTGTCCTATATTTGTTCAGTCCAAACACACTAAGATAATATGTAATCTCTTAGCTAGAAAAAACATTTTAAAAATAGGAGGTTTATGGGGTGGATGACAAAAGGAATTCTTGGACAGAAATTTGGACTATTTCAGTTTGGACTATTTCCTATCATAGCTACATAGTTATACAGAAATCTATGGCACAGGGGGATCAGGCCTAGGTTAATACAAGGGGTCTTGGTAGCCTGGGTACTTCAAGATATTACATTGTGAATAAGAAAAGAAATAAAAGAGAATTTATAGTATGATAGAAAAGGCAGTGAGAGCAGATCACGGTCAGGGCCAGAGATGATGGCATAACTTTGAGATGAAAGCTGTTTTTTAAAGGCCCTAAGCTGCATTTTTCAAGGGCAAGTATATAGATAAGTGGCAGACAGACATAGCTGAGAACAGCCTGTGCCATGTGAACAGAGGGGCCCCCATGAACCTCAGCTTCCTCCTGTGTCCAATAGGAATAATAGTACCATTTACCAATTGTACACTGGTAATCAAATGCAGGTTATAAGGTAGGAAAACACAACCCACTGTCCAGAAAATAAATGTTTGATAATCATTATGTAACTATGTAAGTCTATATATAATCTGTACTTTCTATAAGTTTTAGTTCTAGGAAAAGAAATTTGAAGGAAACACCTTGTCTTTCTTTTTTGATAAAAATTGTTTTAATATTTTTATTGTTTTTTTTTTGCATTTCATATAACAGATCTTAATCAAATTTAGACCCACTCCCTCATCTGTAATTCCCTCATAGCCTCCTCCCTAACCCCACTGGATTTCATGTATTCTGTTATATATGTTAAGTCCTGTCTGGTCAAGTTTTTGTACCTAGCTATTCCTTGGTGCAAGTTCATCCACTGGAGTCTTCTAGTCAGCCTATCTAGAACCACTCCCTTAAAGAAGATCTACTCTCCCTTACCCAGCAGTAACCAGTTGCCAATAGTTCTTCGGCTAGGGTTGGGCCTGCTGCCTGTTTCCCCCATTTTATGCTGGGTTTTTGTCTGATTGAGTTGGCATGGGTCTTCTGCATGCTATCACCATTGTTGCAAGTCCATGAGCAAGTTCCCAGAGGCCTGAAAGCCTCTGTTTCCTTATGTTCACGCACCAACACTGGCTTTTACAGTTTTTCTGCCCTCTTTTTTTCAGTTTGTGTGTGTGTGTGTGTGTGTGTGTGTGTGTGTGTAAGTGTATGTTAGTATAATGCCCATGGAAGTCAGAAGAGAATAGGGCATTGGATTCCCTGGAGCTGGAGTTACAGGCAGTTATGAACCATCTGATATGGATGCTGGGAATCAAAGTCAGTTCCCCTGGAAGAACAAGCACTCTTACCTGCTATGCCATCTCTCCAGCCCCTAGTCTGGTGTTTCTTAAATGTTTCCCACAAAATATTACTTAAGAGAGCTCAAAGCTGTTGCATAAGCAGCAGAGTCCATGTGCTAAATGAGGAACATTCACAAGGGCTCCATGCCAACATGTGTTGTGATATGTTCATGATGTTATTTGTACAGTTTCCCAAAATTACTCAGCCATAGTTCCTCCAGGAGTTTCCCACAAGACTGCTGTTGTAGAACAAGCCTTGAGATGCATGACGAAGGTTGTGGGGACCCCCTGAGAGGAAAAGTGATTCAGATAGAACTGCATTCATTCAGAGGCTGGTGCTCCTCCAGCATTTGCTACCTTTGTTTTGAGAGAATACAATGGGAAACAAAAATCTTTTCTTTACAACAAGACAGAAGCCTCTAGAAGACGTAACTGCAGGC